GATTCCTCAGCACCACATAAGCAAAATGAAAAAAGCCAGAAGTGGCGCTGTGGCTCAAGTGGTAGAGCGCTAGCTTTGAGCTTAAGAGCTGAGGAACAGCATCCAGGCCCACAGTTCAGGCCCAACGACCAGACCCCCCCCCCAAAAAAAAACCTGACCACTATTAATTCAATTAACAATTTTTAAAGCAGAACTTACCTGGCTCATGGATCATGTAATGAACCCAGCCAAGACTCTGTTGGACACCAAGTCTCCTCCACTCCTCTTCAGACATCAGATGAGTTTTGGGTACTTGTTTAGAAAGTTCTCTGGGTAACATGACATGCCTAGTAACAGACAGCCAAGCATTAGTGCTATGTCTTTCTTACAGTTATCATTTTATTTGCACCAGTGGCACTTGGAAAGGTAAAGACCAGGAGGATCATGGCTTCAAGGCCAGCTTGGCCTATGGGGAAGAACTTCTCAAGAGCTGAACACCACAGCACAGTCTTCCCTAGCCAAGTAAGAGCCTCTCAATGGAGCTATGGTGGTGTATGCCCATCATTCCAGCTACCACAGGATGTGTAAAAATAGGACAGGTAGGAGATGGGACTCTCTCTAAAATGATCAACGTAAAAATAAAGACCAGGAAGTATGCGTAAGCAAGCCCCAGGCCCTAAGTTAAATAAGACACATACAAAAAGTTACATCATGTGTATCATTTGTATAAACCAGTAAACATGATCTATCAGGATTTGATTATAATAGGAAAAATTTTAGTCAATTTCATGTGGGGATACTAATACTTCATGGACAATTTTCAAACACAATCATGCCAATTTATTACTATCTTATGGAAATTAAGCATAAGACTAGGAAATTAATTTTACAAACACAAAATGGAAAGTATAGGTTGTTCATTAATACTAACCTTTGAAATTTACAGGACAATATACCACAGAAAACATATATTCCATTCATTCTTAAAGGTAGTAAATAGCTTGGTGTATTCAGCCTAGCTCATACTCAGCATGTTGTCAAATGCCTATAATCTCAGCTACTGGGAAGACTGGGCAGGACAAAGTTTTGAGGCTATTCTAGGCAATTTAGTGGATAAAGGACTGGGGAAGCATTCCAGTGGTGAAGCACTTGAAAATTAGAATAATTTCAGATACACCAAGAGTTTCTTATGTACTTTACCACACACAACATCTTAGTAATTTCCGATTTAGTGACTATCCAGAGGTTTTTGACTATATTAAATCTGAAAATAAGAGTACTGCTGACAATGCTTAGAAACTATCTTAGTATAAACATTAATACTATGTTTTAAAAGAAACGTAAACAGCTGGACATTGATGGCTCATACTTGTAAAACTAGCTACCTCAGGAGGCTGAGAACTGAGGACAGCAGTCTGAAGATAGCTGAGGCAGGAACATACTTGAGACTTTTATCCAGACTGGTTATCTCTAACCACCAAAAGAGCTACAAGTAAGTCTATGGTCGTCCCAGAACGCTGGCCTTGAGCACAAAAGCTACGGGGAACTTTCTGGCCCTGAGTTCGAGCCCCAGTACCAGCACCCTTATGCTAAAAACTTAGAAATTTAAGTCTGCCAAGTTTTAGAAAGATAATGCAATTTACAACGTTGCCTACCACTGGATACTGACCGCCTGGGCTCCTGGTTAAGGTGATTTAGAAACTAGGTTTTTCTACCTAGAAGTATAAAGGCTTACAAGTTAGTACAAATTCATAACACTGGCCAAAAGAAAGCCACTTTCCTCCATAGTTTGGGGCAAGGAAGGGGAGCAGGGCGGGGGTGGGGGCAGGGGGGGAAGGTCACTCAATCTAAACATCCTAACTTCTCCAACAACATTCTTGGAAATCTAAACTAATGGGGGCAGCAAAGCAAGGTCACCACTGGGCCAAGGGTGGCGTACTTGCCCAGAAGGCAACGCAGTGGTTACCGAGGCCGGAGGCCCCAAGGGTTGGCGGAGACTACTTTGGTCCCCGAGTTGGGGCTGCGCACCACATCCGGCCGGGCTGAGCGGCCGGAAGCGTCCCCTTCTCCCTCCCTGACGCCACTCGGCTCGGGTTCCCGCACGGCCTCTCCTCCCTGGCGCAGCCACGCCAGCCTTCACCGTCCCCAAAGTGCCACAAGTAACTAAGCAAAGGAGCCCAGAGTCCACGCCAAGCCTTCGGGTCGGTCCGGGGCGGCGTGCGCCGCTGGGTGCTGAAAGCCGCCACGTTCGCGGCGGCGATTCCCCGTCCGGCCCGGGCTCGGCTCCGCCCCAGCCCC